CCCTCATCCTCGTTCCTAGCGCGGATGTTCAAGCATGCGGCCTAAGTATTTCCGCTTTATTCAATACTTAACTCGAAATAATTCCATACACCTTAAAGACCGTTCAAAAACTTGCCTCGGCAAAGGTTCAATGTTCGTTCCAATGCGGGTGTTTGCGCGGGAAATTTTGAAGTTTCGAGATAGATAAACCCGTTTTTCTGAGCGAATAGGCAATGAACACCTCCAAAACTGGCGGAAAGATGCGTAACAAGGAGTAGAAGAAGTGCTTGAAAAATCTTTGAATTATGAAATTGAGAAAATTGGTGTAGCTTTTTGTGATTAAGGTCTCCAGCGGAGACCTACGGGAGACCTCAGTTCTCCGATTAGCAAACACTTTTTCGTTTCTCATAATTTTGCTTTCTCTATAGCAAACATTTTTTGTGCACCCTTGATCCAACTTGCAGCGCAATAACCAGACCACAGCACTTTCTCTCTTCCTTGCAAGGCCCCTAAATTGTTTTACCTTAGTGAAGAAAACGCGCTGCAAGTATAGGGCCTGCAGTGCTTTGCCCTGATTGCACGCGTTTGTACAAGTTACAAAAGGGGCTTTGTAATTTCCTGGATTTTCAAACGGATATTCGTTCTTATAAGGTTCAATCGGAGACCTCGTGCCGAGGCCTGTTCCAGGTGTTTACGGAATTGTTCTTGTTTGCCCGGTTCGGTTTGGTAATTGTGATCTTAATCTTCATACTTCGCAATCCCCTCGTGTACCCATCCCACCTAACTAAGTGGTTTATCATGGGATGTTGTGGATGTGGGTCTACGCGGAACGAACGAGCATTTGTAGTACGCATGAACCTATTTTCTGGCGTATAGGCGGCGGACAGCCACCAAATATAGGAATGATGCACAACAGTAACTAAAAGTGAGCAAAAGAAGCGTGGCTGCCTGTTCGGTTTGGTAATTGTGATCTTAATCTTCATACGCAATCAATCTGTTCACAAATTCCTACACATTTGACTGACGCTTCAATTGCAAAAAAATATAAAACTAGTATTCATTTTCATTTTTAGCATGATGTTTGTAGACCCTTATTCCATAAGTTTCAATATTGCAACAGAATCATACTTGAACATAGATCAGCTGTCACTTTGCCTAAAGATAAATGAAGTTTTTTTAAAAGTAGGTAAAGCTAGTTGACGTTACTTATACGAAAGAAATTTTTCGATTTGTTTGAATTTACTTGCCTGCGGAGAAGAGCTCACTCCGTTCCAAAACACACCTGTTGAAATCAAAAATGTGGCCATTATTTGCAAAGAGCACTACATTGTGAAAAATATCTCGTCGCAGCTATCAATGTCTGTCTGTACTGTCCAAAAAAATTCAAAGTTGTCTTCGAAGGTGGTTAACAAAGTGAAGTTCAGGAGTAGAAGCCAATTTTTGACGCGAGGGAAAACGGGAAAAATCTTCCATCAAATTTACTGCTTAATCCTTGTAAGTGAGTGCAAATGTAAGATATGATTTTTTCAATTAACTGTATTTCTAAACAGAACTACCACATCACTGAAGCATCCTCATTTTGGAGAGGGATCGACATGGCGTTAACTCGTTGGTAATATCAATGCACTCCTCCTTTCGGTTTATTTTTGGATTTTTGACGGTGATCCAAAACTCCTCTAACGTCTCCAGGATACCGGGTTCCGTGTCCATGATAGTCATGTGATAAG